GTTCACATTTCAGTGTAAATTCTGGATTCTGCTATTCATCATTGAGAGAAGTCTACTCTACTAAGACAGTCCTCTTTTTACCATATGTGGTGGACATGCGAAAAGGCAAAAAATTATTGGAGTCAAATTCATGCAGAGATGGAGAAGATTTTGAAATACGCCTTTAAAAAAGAACCAGAATTGTTACTTTTAGGTTTGAAAATGGAAGAAGTTAACGTAGATAAAAGAACTCTGATGTGGTACATGGTGACAACAGCTAGATTGATATACGCTCAATATTGGAAACAAGAAGTACCAAGAATGGAAGATTGGAGTAAGAAGCTGCTGTTTGCAGTAGAGATGGACAAAATGACAAGAAAATTGAATAATATGAAAGCAGAAGACTTTTATAATGACTGGAGAGATTTAAAAGAATATTTAGAAAAATATTGGGAAGTAAAGGATACTTTATTTTGTTTTAATAATTATTAAACATAGAATTTTCTTTTAGAGCTTTTTAAAGAACTAAGATGGGTAAAGAAATTAATGTTTTAAAAAGATAAGTTACCTAGTGGAATATAAGAATAAGTATAATGGAAGAAGAGTGAAGAAGTGAATTTGCAGGAAGTTGAAGCACTGTGGGAAGCCATATATAAAGGGGGGGAAGGAGGTGGGTTAGGGTGTAACGGGGGAGAATACAGAAATTGTAAATTGTTGATCATGTATGTTTATATCCTAAATAAAAAATTGTTATTAAAAAAAAAGAGAGAGAGAGAGAAGTCTACTCTACTAAGACAGTCCTGTCAGAAATTTACTAATGCATCCCCGGATTTTCAACTGAGCCTTTGTAGAGCCTGGTCCATTGATAGGCTTGTGGCCTCTTGGGACACAAGAGTCATAGGACCTCTTATAGCATAGTCATTAGAGAACTGGACTAGGGTGTGGGAGACCCATGTTCCACTTGGCCGTGAAAGCTGATTGGGGGACATTGGGCTACTCAATCTTTCTCAGTATAAGCAACCTCACGGGGTTTTGGTGAGGATAAAATGGAGGAGATGAGAATGTTGTGAGGCATTTAGGGCCCCCATTGGGGAGCAATGTGCAGTAAGTCACTCAATTAAAAAATGAATATATCTAACTCTCTTCCAGTATGTCCCTCGTAGAGCCTTACTCTTGATAGATCAAGATCTGCTGGTGATCCCCAGCCCTAAAGATGTTCACATAGCCTCAACCAGATCCAGAGCCTTTTCGGCACTGGTGCCGGCCTGGTGGAACACTCTCCCTACTGCGATTCAGGCCCTGAGAGACTTAATGCAGTTCCACAGGGCCTGCAAGAGGGAGATGTTATGCCAGGACTATGGATGAGGTGGCAGAGACCTATTTATATTGTCATCTGCTAGTCCTTTGTCCACCATTCCCCCTGTATTAGTTATCATCCACCTGCAAGCATGTGGGGAATCTACGCAGAAGTAGATGGAGATAGAGTAGATTGGTTGAACAGTGCCATCGATTTTTAAAGCTGAGATATTAACTGTTCTTATTGTGATTTGGATTTTGATGCTTGTGACTTGGGTTTTAATAATTGTCAGGGCTCTTTTTGTAGCAGGGATTCCTTTGCATATTAGGTGACACACCACTAATGTTGCCAATATTCCAAGAGTTTACAGAGCTCTTCTTACAGGGGCTACTGTAAGCTCTTGGAGGATTGGCTACATTAGGGGTGTGTCGCCTAATATGCCTAATATGCAAAGGAGTTCTTGGTACAAAAAGAGCCCTGCACAGAATAATGTATTTATTGTTTTTGTAACCTGCCCTGAGCAGACTTGGGGGGGGGGGGGGCTAGAACCAAATAAATAAATATAAACCATGTGGCTTTCATCGAAAGTAGCAAATATGATTCTTTCTTCTCATTTCAATGTGTTCTTATGTAAAGTTTTAGAATCAAGAGAATGCCTGTTCAAGCTTTCTTTCCTTAACATTTTTGAGTTACAGTTCTTCCGTTTCAGATTTCTTAGGTGGCTCCCAAACATCAAAACCCAATCAAACTTTAAAACAACCACAATAATGACAAGTAAAAGACACGTTTAATTCTGTAAATATCTCAATTACAAACAGAAAGGATCAGATCGAAGTTCCAATCCAGATACTTACTAACTCCTTTTCAAACTCTGATGACAAATCATCTGAAAGGACTACAGATTGGGACCTGGGCTGTTCATCTAAGTTATTTAATATGTGGGTGGGGCAAGGAGGAGGGTGGGCCTACTTGAAGGGAAATGATTTGAATGGAGTGACCGATGCTGATAAAAAGGGAACAGGAGCCTTTGAACCAGAAACTCCTCTGCCTCAGGAGACCAAGCTCATTGGAATTTCCCATCATGCTCTGGGTCTTACTGCTCTACACACTCCTTGCTTGTTGCTCAGGTAAGATAAAGGAACCTTTCTTTTTCTGTGCTGTTTCTGCAGAACCTGGAAAGAACAACACTCATATCATTTTAATGGAGATATTTTCTTCTCTTTGCAGATTCCTTTGCCCAGTATGTGCTGACTCAACCACCATCCATGTCTGTATCTTCGGAACAAAGTGCCCAAATAACTTGTTCAGGGAAGAGCATTGGGAGAAAAAGTGTGCACTGGTACCAGCAGAAACCCGGCAAGGCCCCAATCCTCATTATATATGGTGATGATACCAGACCCTCCGGGATCTCAGAGCGATTCTCTGGCTCCAACTCTGGCAACACAGCCAGGCTTACTATCGCCAGGGCCCAGGCAGAGGATGAGGCCGATTATTACTGTCAGGTGTATGATGGCAGCACGGATCAGTGCCACAGTGATGCAGACAGAGGGGGAAGTGAGACTAAAACCTCCTGCTATGAAAGTCTGTTGCTTGCCTCATTGAACGCAGTCACTGCAGAGACCTGGGAGCCCATCACTAAGTAGAGGCAGAGTTGCCATCTGCAACCCCGATGGAACTCACTTTGTCCGTATGCTTGTTTGCTGACTTTCCATCCATACCACATCTTCAGTTTATCTCACATAAGCCGTGTAAACAAATCAGAATGGACAACCACATGACATAAAACTGCCCTGTGGAGCTGAAGCAGAGGATGAGTCGAAATTTCTCCTCTCTCTCTGAGAGCTGTGCGCAAATGTAGCCTGAAATCCCATTACCAGCAATGAAGAATTCCAATGAAGTGCTAAAGGCTAGGTGTAGCGATTAGAGTTCTCCTCCTGTGGGCTCTTTTTGAGATCCTCTGTCAAAATCCTGGGAAACATTATGCATGGGGAAATGCTCAAGAAAAGCACATTTCCACCCCACCAAACAAAAGATGTATGGACTCATCTCTTCCCGATCCCCAAAGTAAAGATGCCACACAAACAACATGGGATTTCATTAAATTATCAACCTATCTGAGCCTTATACCATCACACACACACACCCATCAATACAGGCCCTTTGACTCGGCATTTCCAGGCAATCACTTAGGTTGACAGAGGCGGAGGGGTGGCAACGACCCCTGTCACCCCCACCTTCCCACCTGCTAGCCTACCCATTGGCTTGCCCAACAACCAACCTGTGGCACTGGGGTTGGATATGGCAAACGATAGGCCAGGTGGAGCTTCTGATTCCGGGCATGAGGGGCTGGTGGAGAGCCTGTTCCTTCTCTTCCTTCTGGGGAGGGGGGTGGACCAGCCTCAGGCCCATGCTTTTCCTCCTTCTCCTGCTTCCTCAACTCTCTGTGGTGGGGCGGGTGTGTGCGTGTGTGTGTGTGTGTGGAAGCAGATGGCAGCTTCCGCCCGTGCAGTGGTGTGGTGGGAAGAGGGCAACAATTCCCCTCTGATGTTACCCTCTCCCATAGTCCTGTAGGTCCTTGGGCCTGAAAGATTCACAATCTTTCTGATGTGTGGAAAGAAGGGGGGTGGGTGTGGAAAATGGCAAGGAGGGTGGGTGGGCAGGCAGAACAGTGTAGAGAGGGATGGGTGAATAAGCAGAGTGGCAAGGAGGGGGGGATGAAGTCAGGCTGAAGAAAGAGGGGGCAGCAGGAGGGTGAGATGGGGATCAGTGTTGGGGTAAGTGAGAAGAAGCAGTGTGGAAGTAAAAAGATGGGAGGAGGTGGTGACAGTGGGAGGAAACAGTTCAGAAAGGGGAGTATAGTTCTCTGTGAGTTTCTCATGGGCCCCTGCTTGCAATTCCTCTAAAGTCATAAACAAAATGAGGCTTGCAAATTTGGGAACTAGTCCAGGGAGCTGAAACCTCAGGTCTCTGAAACCATAGAATCTGCAACCACGGCCACTAGAGGGCAGCCCTAATCCAGAAAACACTGGCCCAGTTGCCATTTCAAAGTGAATGAGAAGGAGCGGCTGGTTTAGCACCATGATCAGTATTTCCCCATTCAGCTGTTCTTTGCGGTTAATCTTCTTACAAACCTTGGAGGGGGGGGAGCATAGATCTGCCCAGCTGCAATGCTTTGCTGTATATCCGTCCAGGAGAGACATCTGTGAAGTCTTGCAGTCCTGCTCCCCCAAAAAAAGTGCTTTGTGGCAAAGGTAGTACCTAGGGACACCTTGTAGTGTTCCCATCTAACAAGGCCATTTTTCATTGGCTTGTTTTAACAAGCTCGCTTTGGCGGAAGTTCATGGTAGGTTGGCAGGGTTAGGGTTAGGATTGATACAGACAGGAGGGTCACTCGCTCATTTATTTTATGCAGTGAGAATAACTTGATATACTTCTAGTTCATATTGTGTCTCCCCCCTCAAAATCTAGGACTGAAGCAAAATTTCAAAGCCAAACCTAAGCAGCATATAGCTAGTGGCCGTTCAGCGGCAGAAGAAAAAGCAGCCTGAAGAGGCCCGGTTGAAGCATCACTTGCACGGGATGGCACATCCTGTTTTCAAGTATCCCTCTGATCATAGGGGCCAATCAGATTTGAGCTGATCACATGACAATGCTCCACCTCTCCCCGTAGCATGGAGATAAAGACCCACAAATGGACTGGCTTCCCATTGCGGGTCTTTTGCTTCCTTTCCTCTCTGGGTCCCCAGATCTCCTCATCATGTTCTGGCCTCCCCTTCTCATCCTTCTAGTGCTGTGGTGCACAGGTGAGAGCAGGTGAAATAGACTCTGCAGTTATTGCTGAGTGGAGGGCAGGTGAGGAGCAAATGGTGTGAGACGGTTTCTCTATTATCCTTTTCTCCAGGTTCAGATTCTCAGCCTGTGCTGACTCAGCCGCCATCAGCATCGGTGACACCAGGGAAGACAGTGAAGCTCTCCTGCGTCATGAGCAGTGGGTTTGACATCAGTGGCTATGACATATACTGGTACCAGCAGAAGCCTGGAAATCCCCCAAGATACCTCTTATATTATAAGTCAGATTCCAGCAAGCACCAGGGCTCTGGGGTCCCCTCTCGTTTCTCTGCTTCCAAAGACACGTCTGCAAACACCTGCCATTTAACCATCACGGGATCCCTGGCAGAAGACGAGGCTGATTACCACTGTGCTACCTATCATGGCAGTGGCAGTACCTTTCGGTAAACACAATGATTCAGTTAAATGTGGAACTAGGACAAAACCTCTGCTTGGTTCAGAGCACCCGAGCTCTGCTCATGCTTGAAGGTCTGTTCAGTCAGCTGCTAGGCTGGAGCCTCAGCCTTATCTTAGCCATGGTGCCCCACAGGCAACGGGTTCTGTCTCACAGTCGGCTCACAACTTGTGTCACAGGACTCGCAAGCATATACTTACAATTCTATGGGTCTGATTCAGTGCCTCATTATTGATTGAAAATGGCTAGTGTCGACCGTCCCTCTTCCCATGAAGACCACAAAAACTAGTGTTTGGGTAGAACTACATTTTCTTCAATCAACCATGATTCCATGGGCTATTCAGTGGGCATTACAAGTAAGGCAGCATCCAAGAAGCTCCCTTCTGCCTCCAAATTTGGCCAGCATGACCTCCGGCTTTGTTGATTTTTTAGCCTGCCCATTAACTGGGCCAAGCGGAGCCACTCCTCCAGCCCCACTCCAGCAACCAAGGAGGTGGCTAATGCTGCTCAGCATTCAAGGCACTGTCATGACCCCCTGGAACCCATCATCAACTAATCCAGCAATGAAGGAAGAAAAGCAACCCCGGCTGATGGCTGCTATGCTAAGGGTTGGCCTGTAGCCTGCAATCCAAGGTTTCATGTAACCTTTCTGTGCAATTGCCCACCCATGAACTGCCTTTCCTTTCCCTTTTCCTTTCCCCTCATTTTTTTGGGGGTGGGTAGGTTTTGTTGCCTCGTATTGTTTTTTCATCCCCCCCCCTCTCTTTCCTTTTAGCTCCTGGTGTGTTTTTGATGACAATTCAACCTTTTAAACATCTAAAAATAATGCAATTATATAATTGATTTGATAATCATGGAAACTCAACAAGTGCAGCGCTCCCATTTAGCGTGTTTCATAATTATTGGATGACACTGTGAAGAATCGGTGTATCTGTTTGATGACTGCAAACAGAAATGGTGATCTAGTTGCCATTTCAAAGTGAATGAAAAGGAGTGGATGGTTGAGCACCATGATCAGTATTTCCCCATTCAGCTGTTCTTTGGGGTTAATCTTCTTACAAACCTTGGAGGAGGGGGAGCCTAGATCTGCCCAGCTGCAATGCTTTGCTGTATATCCGTCCAGGAAAGACATCTGTGAAGTCTTCCAAACCTGCTCCCCCCAAAAATGTGCTTGTGGCAAAGGGACACCTTGTAGTGTCCCCATCTAACTAGGCCATTTTTCATTGGCCTGTTTTAACAAGCTCACTTTGGCGGAAGTTCATGGTAGGTTGGCAGGGTTAGGGTTAGGATTGATACAGACAGGCGGGTCAATCTCTCATTTATTTTATGCAGTGAGGATAACTTGATATACTTCTAGTTCATATTGTGTCTCCCCCCTCAAAATCTAGGACTGAAGCAAAATTTCAAAGCCAAACCTAAGCAGCGTATTGCTAGTGGCCGCTCAGCGGCGGAAGAAAAAGCATCACTTGCACGGGACGGCACATCCTGTTTTTAAGTACCCCTCTGATCATAGGGGCCAATCAGATTTGAGCTGATCATATGACAATGCTCCACCTCCCCCCAATGCATGGAGATAAAGACCCACAAATGGACCGGCTGCCCATTGCGGGTCTTTGCTTCCTTTCCTCTTTGGGTCCCCAGATCTCCTCATCATGTTCTGGTCTCCCCTTCTCATCCTTCTAGTGCTGTGGTGCACAGGTGAGAGCAGGTGAAATAGACTCTGCAGTTATTGCTGAGGGGAGGGCAGGTGAGGAGCAAATGGTGTGAGACGGTTTCTCTATTATCCTTTTCTCCAGGTTCAGATTCTCAGCCTGTGCTGACTCAGCCGCCATCAGCATCGGTGACAGCAGGGAAGACAGTGAAGTTCTCCTGTATCATGAGCAGTGGATTCAGCATCAGTGGCTATGATGTATACTGGTACCAGCAGAAGCCTGGAAATCCACCAAAATACCTCTTATGGTATTATTCCGATTCCAGCAA